GCCCACAGCCCCATTATCTCAGACCTCTCCATTCCCACGGTGACATTCACGGGTGGCCCTGGGGAAGCCTTCTTGGCAAGAAGGGGTAGGGGCACTGCTCTGTAGGCCTGGTTTCAGTGGCACAGCCTGCAGGGAAGAGGGAGCTTCAAAGGCATCAAGTTCGCTCCCTGGGGTCGAGGGAGAGGAAGGGGAGAAGGGGGGGAGCCCAGCCAACAGCTTCGAGAGCTTTGTCTGGCTACAGAGAGAAGAGAGAGACAGAGAGAGAGAGTTGTAATTACCATATCAATTGTTTCTGGGTAAATAGGAGCCTCTAAAAGATTTTAAAATAGATTATTCTTTCAAATAGGCTGTGTACCTTTTGGCAGCCTCATTTGCATTATTCAATTACTGGGAAATCCTTTTTTCATGGATAGTGTGGCTTGTGGAATGGGGTAAGCTTGGGGGGAGGCAAGGAACTCTGGAGCGGCGAGGTCCCCCACTCTAAGGTGCAGGGCTGGGAGGTGGGGAGGGTTGGTTTATGAAGGAATGACTGTCCCTCTTCCAGTTGTCTCTGTCCTTCATCCTCCTGCCCCCTCCCATGCTGGCAGAGCTCCCGTCCCACTGCGGCCTCCATCAGGAGCCCCTATTGGGGTTGGCCCAGATTCTCTGGCTGCAGTGGACAAGAGGACACACGGAGAACAGCAGGAACAGAGACGTGAGAGAGGGAGGGGTGGGCGGGACCTGCACCCAGGCCGAGGCCAAACTGGAGGCGCTGTTTCACTCCAAATGACCGCAATGGCTGCAGCTGGCTGATCCCAAGCCAGAAGTTTCTTCCAGGTCTCCCACATGGATGCAGGGGTCCAACCACTTGGGCCACTTTTAGCTGCCTTCCCAAGAACATTAGCAGGGAGCTGGATTGGAAATAAAGCAGCTGGGACTCCAAACTGGGCCCATTATGGAATGCCAGTGCCATGCCAACAGAGGCTTTAATGTACTATGCCACAGCGCCAGCCTCATGGGATTCAGACCGTGGTCCAGGGCTGCCCTGCGGGGTTCTCTGAGGGAGAGAGAGGTAAATTGCAGGGCCCTGGTGAGCTTAGCTTGGGAAAGACAAGACTGGGCAGCTGGATGCTGGGTAGATAAGGTTTTATTTTATTTAGTTAGAAAGATGAAGGTTAACGTAGAATGAGACAGAAATTGCATCCAACACTTTACATTCCTAAATGAAGGACTGGTGTGGTAGCCTAGCGGCTAAAGCCCTTGCTTTACATGCACCAGGATCCCAGGTTCTAACCCCAGCAGCCCTGCTTCCCATCCAGCTCCCTGCTTGTGGCCTGGGAAAGCAGTCAAGGACAGCCCAAAGCCCTGGGACCCTGCACCCATGTGTGAGACCTGGAAGAAGTTCCTGACTCCTGGCTTTGGACTGGCTCAGCTCCGGCCATTGTGTTCACTTGGGGAGTGAGCCAGCAGACAGAAGATCTTCCTTTCTGTCTCTTCTTCTCTCTGTAAAATCTGACTTTCCATTAAAAATAAATAAATCTTTTTTTAAAAAATTTCCTAAATGAAAATGTGGTGTAGTGGATACCACCACCAACCCATGTGGATCATGTCCTGGCTCCACTTCCCATCCAGCTCCCTAACACATCTGGGAAAGGATAAGAGGATGGCCCAAGTCCTTGGGACCCCACACCCACACAGAGACTCGGCTGGAGCTCCAGGCTCCTGGTTTGGACCTGACCTAGGCCAGGCTGTTGCAGCTGTTTGGGGAGTGATTCAGGAGAAGGAAGATCTCTGTCTTGTTGTGTCCCATATTTATGGGATACCGTGCAGCAGTCCAATACATGCACAGAGTGGAAGTTGATCCGACCAGGCAGCTGGCCAACTGGTTCACCAGCCCATGTATCTTACTCAGGCTGCAGACTGGAACCAGGGCAGCCCCAGGGTCTGGTGGAGGTAGAGGGGTGAGTTGTAAAACTGAGGAGCCACGAGCCTGAGGCACAGGCACAGACTGACAGCTACAACCACGGGGAGCAGGGCAGATGGCTGCCCTGGGGTTGCACATCTGGAGGCTCAGGAGCCAAGCTGGGGAGGGAAAGGGCACACTTTGTGCTGAGTTTGGAGGGGCTGAGCCATGGGAGGGACGCTGTTGCTCTCTCCAGGAGTCATACAACACGGGGAGCAGGGATCCCCTTCTGTTACACAGTGGTGGTGGGCCAGTGGCAGGCGCCAGCTCACAAAGACTTCCATATACACACATGCAAATCCTACTTTGCATTCATTTGTGAGCCAGGCTGGAGCCCCTGGGATGCCCGTATCAGCTGCTGAATAAGGATCTCCATCAGGGGCATCCCACAGCCTGGCTGGCAGAGGCAGCCGGGCCCTAGCAGGCCTACCGACTCCAGGAGTGACCTGAATGCATCACGGGGCTCACCGGAGCTGGGGCTGTGTTACAAGGAGCCACAGCAGTAAGGATGGAGGAGGGGTGGGACACAGGCACGTGGGGGAGCTGAGCCGAGGTGCTCACATGCTGGGTCGGGGGGGGGGGGGGACGACGCCTGGGTTCTCACACACAGGCTGCGGCGTGCGTGTCTGCTTACTTCCTCACGTGTAACCCAGGCTGTTACTGGCCCATGAGAATGACCCCAAGTCACACAGGACACTGACTGGCCCCACCCACCCACCTGCTCAGGTGTTCAGGTCCAGTGGGCGGCTCAGCACAGCCCTGGCGCATGCGCTGACAGCAGTGCACCCCCTCTGCTACGCCATTTTCCCTCCTTCCTGTCTTTCCTCTCTGACTGGCTGATGCAGCTTCACCATCCTGGCTCCACATGAGTTCTGTCCCCCTCGCTCTTACGAATGGAGCATCTGCCAGCTACAGCTGGAAAAATTATTTCTACATTAAAATGCACGTGTTGGACCTTCGCCCAGGGAAAGCAGCTAAAAAATACTGTCTTGGAGGGCACTTGTCAGCAGGGGACTTAGTGGCCACTGTCCTCATCTTACTGGGCAGTCCCCGGGCAAGTCACACACCTGCTGGACCCCTCCTCCACCACAGCAGGAGATGCAGCATCACCATAAGAAAGGAAAAGGACTGGGAGGCAGGCCCATTTTACAGACCAGCAAACTGAGGTGCAGACAGCTCACTCAGCACCACCGTGTTCAATCTACAAATGTTGGGAGCAGCAGTGGGTGGCTCCGACTGCAGGGACTCCGCATGTTGGAGTGTCTCCGGACAATTCCTCTGAAAGAAGTGTCCCCATCTCCACCTTTATAACTGAAGCCAGGTGCTTGCTTACACAGGGGCCCCAAGGGGCCAGGGTGGATCTTCTGAACCAGTGTTCTTCAATCTAATGCCAGCCCAGAGCAGTGACAATGGGACCTCACTGCGACAACTGTCCCCTGTGACAGGTGTTCTGCTTGCAATGCACACGCTGCAAGCTACTTGGCTGAGGAAATTCGGGCTCTGCAGTGTGAAAAGTGTGTAACAAGTAAGGAATGAAGCTGGGGTCCAAAGTCAAGGGCGCTGGGGTTGCCATTTTGACACCTGACCCAAGCACCCGTGTTCAGCTCCCATTCCCTGATCCAGGTCCTTGCTTACACATACCCCTGGAATGCTGCTTTCCCAAGCACATTAGCCAGGAGCTGGATGGGAAGTGCAGTAGCCAGGATTGAACTGGTGTCCATACAGGATGCCAGAGCTGTAGGCAACAGCTTCATCCCCTAGGCACAGTGTTGGCTCCTGCAGTCCCCTTTTTTCATACAAGAAACCTGAGGCTCGGGGAAGGCAAATATCTGACCCAGGGCTACTGGACAGAAGCTAGACCCCCCAAACCTGGTGCCCGTGTCACAGGGTCCGCCAAGGACACTATGTAGAATCCCCTTCCTGGGGCCTGCATCTTACTGGGCCTCGGTCTTCCCATCTGTGAAATGGAAACAACAGCAGAGGCCTTTAACACAAGCACAGGACTGGAACAGCTTCATATAAAGGCATTTATTTTCACCAAAATGTTCCCTCCCACTCCCACCCCCACTTACAAAAGTTTTCAGTCCCCCGCTTAAATTAGAAGCCGTCCCGTTTCCATCTTGGGGGTAGGGGATGCCATCAACACTGGCAGCTCTTACTGCCTGGGGTGGGGGCCGGCCAGGGACACAGGGAGCCATAGCTACCTGGCCCTAGAATAGCACCACAGTGGGGCAGGGGGAGCCGCCTGCATCCTCACAGCCCTTTCAGCCCTCGCCCACGCCAGGCTGTGGCCAGGGTGAGCAGGCTCCAGCCTTGTCCATGCTGCCAGCTCAGGCTTGTGAACCCTGCTCCCAGCCCACACTCTGGGTGAGGACTAGAGATGGAATGGGGGTGGTGTGGGGAGGTGAGGGATCCAGGAAGCTGGGAGTGGAGGAGGTGGGTGGGTGGGTGGTGCGGGTGGGCGGGCACAACAGGAAGTGAGGCAGAGCTGCATTCCCAACCCCAGAAAAACCACAGACCCTGTTTGCCTAGGTGGGGGTTGGGAGGTGGGCTTCTAAGCAGTGGCGGTGGGAGGGGACCAGTCTTTTCAACTGGGTCCCCAGTACCTAGCTGAGTGCTGGTATTCCAGGGTCACTCAGTGGATATTTAACCGAATGGATGAAAAGAACCAATGTTGCAGAGGTGGGGGGATCCCACTGCAAACCACAGACCCAGTGTGACCAGCACAGGCTGCCTGGGGCAGGGCAGGTGGAGGGTGGGGCTCCTGAGAGGGGTGTGTGAGGGGGGCTCCACATGTGTTCCAGCACATGACTTTGGGTGCGCTCTCCTGCACGTGGTGTGGGGATGCTGTGTGAGCCTGCTTTCACTCAGGGTGGGTGAAGGGGATGCCAAGACGGAGCCAGCAGGCAGGAGGCTACCCTCCAGGTCTGAGGAGATGGAGCAGGTACCAGTGCTGCCTGCAGGTGAGAAAGGACAGCCCTGCGGGAGAGGCCATGTGAGGGCCAAGCACCCCAAGAGAAGTAAGGCAGGAATGGGCCTGGATAGCCTGGGATGAAACCAAGCCAGCCCCAGTGGTTGGGGTGGTCCTGGTGCTTGAAGGCGGTGAGGGGTCTGTGCCCCTAAGATATAAGGCAATGAGGCAGCACGGGGATCATGTCACAGGAGAGGTAAGGTGGCAGGTGACACCACGTCCCTTGGAGCGACGGGGGTGGCAGCTCCCGGGTCTCCGGGGTCAGGCGATTTCATCTGTGTCCCGTGGGCGGGCCGGGGGAGGGGGAAGAAAAGCAGAAAAAAGCATTAGTGGCAAAGTTGCCAGAAGTGGGGTCACATGGGAGCCTGGGCACCCAGGCACACATTGTCAGCGGGCTGGTAGGTATGGGCAATGCCCAACTGTTCCACGCAAGACCCAGGCTAACTCCGGGTGCTCAGAGTCCTTACCCAGAACAGGAGGCCGTGGGGCATGGGGCAGGCCCTGGACACCAGACTGCACCCTTTATCCAACTTTTTCTGCTGTCACCCACCCCTGCCTGCCCTGTTCCCCACTAACTTCCCTGCAAGGCCCGTGACCCCTCCCTACACACATACACCCACCAACTTCCATCCAAGGCCTGGTCCAACCCAGCTCCAACACACACACACACCCATGGATTCATGTGTTGCACCCCCATCCCAATCAATCCTGGTTTGGAATGGGAGTCTAGGCGGAAGGCCCTGGACCTTTCCCTGCTTTTCCTTCATGTCTGCGCTCTGCTGTCCCCAAGGAAAGTTGCCGTAACCCCAACTCCCCACAGTTGGCCAGCCACATGCATGGGTGCTAACTGTGGCTGCCTAGCATGCCCAGAGGCAATGGGGCCGGGGTGGGGGGGCAGGTCACCACCTTCCCTGGGCAGCAGGGGCCAGGACAGGGCTCAGGGCACCATCCTCAGGATCCGCTTGCTTGCTTGGATCTGAATCACAGGCAGGGGATGGCTTCTCTCCATCTCCTCACCCCCAATACGGGTCCTTAACAGGTACACAGCACTCGGCTGGAAGACTTGGTGGGCCGCAGGGGGGTGGGCCCGTGAGGCGCTGCCCTCCTGGGCAAGGCTCTGTCTTGTCTGTGCTCTCTGTTCCCCAGCCCATTGCCAGCTCACAGGCTCTCCTGTGGAGCGAGCCTCAAGTCATGGTTTAAAGGGTGATGCCCCAGTCCGCAGTCTCCCACATACAGGGGCTTATTACCTTCTTTGCTTTCCGCATGTTTCAGAGGCCGCAGGGCTGTGAACAGAGGAGGCAGCACGTGGTGAGGGGGGCAGGGAGAGGATGTGGGGAGGGAGGCAGAGAGGCAGGGCTGGCTGTGAGGACCAACCAAATGGGGGAAGGGGAAGAGGAAGGTGGGATGGGAACATGACAGCACCAGGAAGGGCCTTGGGCTGCTCCCCAAGGACTGTGTGGTTGCAAGCACCCCTCTCTGGGCCTCAGTGGTCTGCATCCAGAGAATGGGACAAGAGCTCAGTGGGCTGCAAGGCACGGGTTCCCCGAGCCTACTCCACACGCCTGGGTGTGGCGAGGGGCTGGCATACTTGCATATGTCCTCAGGTCCACATTGAGATGCAGGTGAATCTGACTCCCCACTCCCCCCTCCCGCCTCTGAGCAGCACAAAAACGAGGTCAGATCCCAAGACTGTCCCCATGCCTGCTGCACGGCAGCGCCTGCGCAGGTGGAGAATTAATTGGCATCATTTATAGAAGTCCCAGGTGTCAGTCCCCGGCCTTCCTTCTGCGGGGGGGTGGGGTGGGGAGGGAAGTGGTGCCTCCCGGGACCTGCCTCTCTCAGCCCGGGCCCCTGCACAAGGGAGGCCTTCAGTGGCCAGTGGCTGATGGCCACAGGACGACACCGCACTCAGCAGTGCAGCGATGGTACAGATGGTAGGAGAAAGGCCAGACACCAAGCACCTGGCCAGAGCCACATGGGGTTCTCCTAAACTAAACTTAGGGTTTTTAACTTTATGACGGCCACAGGAGTTTGTGGAAACCAAGGTGGGGCTACTGGATCCAGTCTCGGGCTAGTGCTGTATCACACAGCCCTCCCATCTTGCCAGGTTAGGCAGTAGCTGTGACAGCAGCTCCCCGGCAGCCCCACAGATGCGAGAAGAAACCAGCAAGGCATTGCAGGCTGCTGAACACGGTTGTTGATGCTTTGTCAATTTCCAGCATTTTTCAGCTTGGCACCTGGGCTTTCCCTATACAGCACCTCATTCTGTTGGACTCAAAAGACCCAGGAAGCCTGTTACGAAGCCCATTATAGAGAACAGGAAACCGAGGCCAGAGAGACACAGCAGCTTGACCCAAGGCCCCTGAAGCCCGCCCTGCCTCCCGAATCCCAGCTCTCTCAACTCACTGAGGGCAGAGTCAGCCATGGGGACTTGGCCCTGGAGAGTGGTACCCACAGGCGGCTCCCGCCTGGGGGTACAACTGAAAGCAGAACCAGCCCCCCCCCATCTCCATGTCCCTGAGTCTTTCTGCATGAGCTCCAAGCTCACACTCACCTGTTTTGGATCCGTCTCCGTCCCCTTCCTGGTCCTCGGCTCCTGCAAGGCAAGGCCTTGGAGTGAGCCAAGCCCTCTCTGGGTCCTATGGTCCTCTCTGCCCTCCCAGGGCCCAGCTGTGGTCCGAGGTGGTAGCTTCCGGTCAGAGCAGGGCCAGGCCTGCGTGAGGACTGAACCCCTGCTGGTGCACCCAGCCAAGGGCCGACAGCCCCCTCCTCTCACTCTGCTACCAGGACTGTGTCTCCTACCCACCCTCCGTCTCTCTCCCCAGCCATCCACCCTGCTACTCGGGCTCCCTTCTCTCCCCTCTGCTCGTACCTGCCGTCTCCCAGTCGCTGCCCTGCTGATCACAGCCCACAGGTCATCTAGACTGACCCCTCTGCTTTTCAAAGTCCCTTTAGCTGCATGCCAGCCACACCCCTCTGCCCCCCCTCCTGACTTCACCCACATCCTCTCTGCAGCCACCCTTGCACACTTGTTCCTACACACGTGTGTGATCCCGCACACACGATGCAAGCATGCAAACACACACACTCGGCCTCTCCACGTACTGGCATTCTCCTCCTCACAGCTCTGCTTGATCTTCCTCCAACACACGAAGGCCAGCGCCACCAGCAGGGCCACGAGACACACAGAGAGCCCCACAGTCACCCACAGGGCCTCAGGGGGAAACGTCATGGCCTGCCCTGGGAAGAGAGGGGAGAAGGGTGTCATCTCCAGCCCAGGAACTGCAGACAGCGTCACTGGCCCCGCCCCTAGTGCACCAGACCCCTGCCCCAGACACCACTGGCCCCGCCCCCAGCATACCAGATCCCTCCCCCAGGCATCACTGGCCCCACCCCTACACCCCTAGTATACCAGGCTCCTTCCCCAGGCAGCATTGGTCCTGCCCCCAGTGCTCCAGACTCCTCCTCCAGGCACCACTGGCCCCACCCCAGTGCACCAGACCCCTCCCCCAGGCATCACTGGCCCCGCCCCTGCACCCCTAGTATACCAGGCTCCTCCCCCAGGCACCACTGGCCCCGCCCCAGTGCACCAGACTCCTCCTCCAGGCATCACTGGCTCCGCCCTAGTATACCAGGCCCCTCCCCAAGGGCATCATGGCCCCGTCCCTGGCCCTGCCCCTACACCCCTAGTATACCAGACCCCTCCCCCAGGCATCACTGGTTTTGCCCCAGCACAACACAAGCTCCACCCCCAGCGGGCCTCAAATGCTGAGCAGAACTTGCCCAGGTCTCTGTTCCTTCTCATATGCCCTTCAAGCCTGCTGGTGCCCAGGAGTTCTTGTGGGCCATAGCATAGGGTAGACCCTTCGATTGCAGGGTACAGGTGTGCGGGAAGGGAGGTATGCCCTTCAGGCACCACGGGCAAAGCTACACTGCTTTTTCTGTGCTCTGGAAGCCAAAGGACCCCAGACAGGGCAGGGTAGCAGAAGGCAGCAGCTGGCAGGGGGCTGTGCAGGTGCAGTCCAGGTGAGGGAACCCCTGCATCCCGCAGTGTTTTTAACAATGCCGACGAAGCTGCAGGGAACCGGATGCAGGCCAAAGCTCCCAAACTAGGCCAGACCTTGCTGCAGCCAAGCCGGGAGGCTGGCTGCTGGGGAGGAGCAGAAAGTAGGCTGAGGATCCTGCGCCTGGCTCACGTTTGCCGCAGGGTTCTGGGCAAGGTCCTCTAGCCTGAGGAAGAGTTCAGAGAGGCCAACAACCCTCCCGCAGAGCTGTGCAAACGGCCACATGGACCATTCATCCGATTTCCGAGGCATTTGGGGCCATGATGGCCATCTGTGGCCTTGGCCAAGTTCCCTCTGTGCCGGGACCTCAGCATCCTCTTTTGTGAAATGTGCTCGATGCCATCGGCCTAAACAAACTACCTGACATGCCAGCTGCCAGATAGGAGCCAGCACTGTGGTGCAGCCAGTTAAGCTATTGGCCCATACCAGCACATGCCCTGGCTGCTCCACTTCTGATCCAGCTCCCTGCTAATACGCCTGGGAAGACAGCAGAGGAGGGCCCAGGGAAGAGACAGCAGAGCCCAAAGGTTTCCCTGGGGTACAAGGAGGGTTGTCTTGGGGAGTTGGGATGGGCAGAGGGAAGGCAGCCCTGCCAGGAAGCTGCAGGAAGAAGAGGAGGGAGCAGGCTAGAGTGGCAATGCTGGCTCTGAGACTGTCAGAGACCAAGGCCATGCCAGGCAGTGTGCACAGGAAGAGAGAACTGAGATGGAGGGAGTCAGGAAGCTCCGAGACCAGAGCAGACATGGGGGAGTGGAGGGGATGAGGTCGGCGGGCTTGGCAGGGGGTGGCGACATGGAGGGGATGGTGGCAAGGAAATTCAAGGAAAGAGGAAAGAGAACAAGACACACACAAAAGCCACCCGGATGTGAACAATGAGAGAGACCCTGGAAAGCTCAGACAACCCAAACGGGGAGGGTGGAGGAGGTGGAAAGGAAGACTGGTCAGCCAGTTGGAGCACTAAGCCCAGAGGCAAGGCAGTCCTGGGCGTGGGCCTGAGTCCATCTCACAACCCCCTAGCCAGGAACAAGCAGTGTCTGTCTGGACTAGGAAACGTGGCAACCACAACAAGGAACAAGCAAGAGCTTGTCATCTAGTGCTTGACCATTAGGGGGCAGCAGAGAAGGCAGAGTTGTGGAGTGGACATTGAGACCACCTGCAGGGGTCCAGCAGCCTCTGGGGGCTCCACCATCAGACAGTGCACCTGCAGAGCTCCCATGGGAAGGCACCCTGGCACCTTGGCCTGCCTCACCATCAGACAGCGCACCTGCAGAGCTCCCGTGCAAAGGCACCCTGGCACCTTGGCCGGCCTCACCATCAGACAGCGCACCTGCAGAGCTCCCGTGGGAAGGCACCCTTGGCCCAGGGCCACCTGTTCCCTAAATGCGTGCCTAGGCACACCTGAAGCACTCTCAGAAAAGTATTAGGAAAGATTCTGATCTGCTGACAAAATCAATCCCCTAAAGCTCGCCTGCTGGGGAGTTCCTGAACTAAGCTATCACGGTGCCAGCTTAGGGTCCAGCAGCCACCTGCTCGCCTGTGTCTGTGCCTCACCTGTGATGGTCACTGAGCCGTGCGTGTCCTGCCGCAGCACCGGGTTGCGCACCAGGCAGCTGTAGGTGCCGTTGGCGCCCAGCACCACCCGCAGGACGCTGCGCACGTCGAACAGGCCTTGTTCATTCGCCGTCTGCGACGTGGTCACGTTGCCGGCCAAGGGCGAGCCCTGTCCGTCCTGCCACAGCACCTCTGCCTCAGGGTAGCCGCGGGAACTGAAGCACGTGATGGTCACCATGTCCCCGGGCCGCAGGTCCTTGTTGGGCTCCAGGGTCATGCTGGGCTTCGAGTAGGGGGCTGCAGGGCAGCCAAGGGCAAGGGTCAAGGGAAGGGCCAAGGCAGGTGCAAAGGGCGAAGGAGGCGTGGGAGCTGAGCACTCAGGGGCCAGTGATGCTCAGTGGCTGGGGGTTGAGGGAGGGCTTGGGCTGCCCCTTCCCAGTGCTCACCTGCCACCTGCAGGCTCACCGCTGCACTGCCAAAGTCCCGGATGCTCACAAAGCACGTGAAGCTGCCCTCGTCGGCCACACGCACACGCAGCAACCGCAGAGATGCGTTGCCCTGTGCCAGCAACTCCGGAAACAGCTCCGTGCGGTTGGCATAGGCACTGCCCTGGTCACGGCCCTGTGCAAAGCTGTGCACCAGCTGCTTGGTGTCTGTCAGCTGCCAGATGAGGCTGAGCTGTGCCAGGCTGAAGCTGGGCTCGGGCACAAAGGAGCAGCGCAGGGTGGCGTTGCTGCCCACCAGGGCCACCACGGGTTCTTCGGGGACCTGTACCTCCACGGCTCCTGGGGGAGGGGCGTGGCTGTGAGCTATGGCCTCCCAATCCACCTCCCCCTGCCCATTTCATCTGTCCCCCTCTGCTCTGACACGGGCTTAGGGTGCTGGTCCAAGCCACCCTTCCCACCCTCTATTCTCCACCCACTACGATGATGTCTCTGAGCTCTTTGGGTGGGCACCTAAGTGGTCTAGATTACTTTCTTCTACCCCACCCCATGATTTTTCTCATCTTCCTGACTGAGGCGGGCCCCCCTTCCCTCCAGGGGTCACGTCAGCAAAAACCTGTGGGGCTTCTATGGGGTGTGACGGTGATGGAGCCGTGCGCGTCCTGCCGCAGCACCGGGTTGCGCACCAGGCAGCTGTAGGTGCCGTTGGCGCCCAGCACCACCCGCAGGACGCTGCGCACGTCGAACAGGCCTTGTTCATTCGCGGTCTGCGACGTGGTCACGTTGCCAGCCAAGGGCGTGCCCTGTCCGTCCTGCCACAGCACCTCTGCCTCAGGGTAGCCGCGGGAACTGAAGCACGTGATGGTCACCATGTCCCCGGGCCGCAGGTCCTTGTTGGGCTCCAGGGTCATGCTGGGCTTCGAGTAGGGGGCTGCAGGGCAGCCAAGGGCAAGGGTCAAGGGAAGGGCCAAGGCAGGTGCAAGGGGCGAAGGAGGCGTGGGAGCTGAGCACTCAGGGGCCCATGATGCTCAGTGGCCGGGGGTTGAGGGAGGGCTTGGGCTGCCCCTTCCCAGTGCTCACCTGCCACCTGCAAGCTCACCGCTGCACTGCCAAAGTCCCGGATGCTCACAAAGCACGTGAAGCTGCCCTCGTCGGCCACACGCACACGCAGCAACCGCAGAGATGCGTTGCCCTGTGCCAGCAACTCCGGAAACAGCTCCGTGCGGTTGGCATAGGCACTGCCCTGGTCACGGCCCTGTGCAAAGCTGTGCACCAGCTGCTTGGTGTCTGTCAGCTGCCAGATGAGGCTGAGCTGTGCCAGGTCGAAGCTGGGCTCGGGCACAAAGGAGCAGCGCAGGGTGGCGTTGCTGCCCACCAGGGCCACCACGGGTTCTTCGGGGACCTGCACATCCACGGCTCCTGGGGGAGGGGCGTGGCTGTGATGTGAGGGTGCAGAGGCCCTCAGACCACCATCCCTGCCTCGGTGCCTCTCTGCTCCTAGCTCTGCCTCCATGAGCATCAAGGTTAGGCACCCAATAGAGAATGTTCCAACAAGGTCAGAGGATTCACACTTTGAAGCGATTGGGAGAAGCTGAGAGTTAAAGGAGGAATGAAACAGGGCTGGACCAGTGCCAGTGGTGGGGCAGGCTGAGGGTTCAGGGGCTGTGCTGTGGGTGTGGAAGGCTCCGGCTGGGAGGGCAGGTCCCAGTCCCAGCACACCAGGTTGGTGGGAAGCTGTGGGTGGACGTGGGGGGCAGGGGGTTGGCTGCCCGGCACTGTGTGGGTTATAATGCTCCAGATGCCCTCCGACTTCTCTGCAGAGAGCAGGAGGGGCCCAGCTAGCAGGCTTCCATGGTGGTCCCTATGACAAGGGTGGCTCAGCTCCCGAGGGGATTCAGTTGATAACACATGGAGAGAACTGGACAGATCTAAGGCTAAGTCAGGAGGCAGTGCCAGTAGGGGCTTGTTGGGGAGACTTCCAGGGGAGGGGAAGGAATCCCTAAAGGCCAGATACAGAGAGAGAGAGAGAGGCAGAGGGCCCTTAGCCCTGGAGCAGGTCCTATGGCTGTCCACACCAGCCCTCCTTCCTCACGCAATTTTGTCACCTCTGCCTCTATGGCAACAATTCTGTAGAGCTCTGGAAGGTTCTGGCATATCTCCTGGCTGGGTAGAGTGTGTGCCCCTGAGCACCAGCATGGCAGGCACACTCAGGGCACCATGAGTGGAAAGATACAGGGTACCTAGTGCTTGCCCTAAGTCCCACCCGCAGAGGGGCTGCCTGCAGAGAGCTACAGAAATGTGGGCATCACCCCTTGTGGCCACCAGGGGGTGCCAGACACCAGCTCTGGGAGGCTGCTATGTGGCTGATAACAAAGTAGCACATGGGGTTGCAAGACACTGTTTGGTAGCTACTGGTGCACCTGGTTACAGTGGATACAGGGCAGCCTGCCTGGCAGCAGGCCATGGGAAGCCTGCCAGGAATGTGTGAGATGTCAGGGTGGGGTTGTGGGGGTGGGGGCAGGAAGGGCTAAGGTGAGTGCTATTTCAAACAAAAAGCCAGGTGGGATGAGGCAGTGGCATCCTGCAAGATGCCTCGAGGTAGGGAAGTCCCGGGCAATAGACAGAGACTGTGCCAAGGGCCCTGGGCGGGGTTGGGAAGGGGAAGGGAGCACACAGCACACATGGAGCCTGCATTCTCACACCCAGAGCTCGCATGTCCATCTCAGAGACCTGGCGATGGAGGTCTGAGAGCTCAAAGGTGCAAGGGAACAGAGTCCTCCCTCACCTGCCAGGCAGAACCACAGCACTCCCAGGGCGGTGCCTGCATGTCTTCGCAGCATCTTCCCGGGAGGGGGTGACCCCTGATTCTCCGTGGCTGGCCCTGTCGGTGAGCAGGAGTGGGGAGGAGAAAGAAGAGTAGGTTTTTTTCAGAAGTCCTGCCCAGGCTTGCCTGCCGGGAGGTCCCTTCCTTTTCCCTCCCCTCCCCTCCCCTTCCTTCCCCATCCTTTCCTACCAGCCTGTTAGGACAGGCTAGTGGAGGAGGTGGTGGTGGTGGCAGCTGGGGAACTAGCAGCCTTTTGCCCAGATGTCAGGAGGAGGAAGCTGGACAGAGAGGTGCACTCCAGGGCAAGGACACACACTGATGTGTCTGGCTCAAAGACCTGCAGGCAAGAGCTGGGCTGGAGCCAGGCTTAGGGATGGGCTAAAAGGTGTGAACTTTATCTGGACGGCAGGAGGCGCCACTGAGGACCCGGGCAGGTGGAATGGACACTGTGGGGGGGGTGGGGGATGGGGGGGTGAAGTCCGGGTAGCTGAATGGGAGGGCTCCGTGGGGTTTGGTACGTGGGTGGGAGGGGGTCGGGGAAGTTGGGGGACCTGTGTGGGTGGCCTTCTAGGAGGCAGTGTGTGAATGTGGGACTGCAGTGGAGGGGCTGACTGCCACCCAAAGCTAGAATCAGGACTGGGTGATGGGCTGCTGTGGGGCCCCAGATCAGACCAAGGGCCCAAGGGACCTTAGATTCCCCCTGGGTACTACCCTGTTCCCAGTCTGACCATCCCAGCCTGGCCACGTCCTGCAGCTACTACCCTATGTGCCACGTCCTGCTGAAGTCCCCTACCAGAGGTGGACAACAGCAACAGACACTGCTTCATATCCCTGACCCAGGGAGAGAGATGCGCCTGACCCCGGGGTGTGTGTATGGGGTGGGGCGGGGGAAAGACAACAGCGCCAACTTCTCCCATCTTTCTCCTCCACACAGGCAGCTGGGGAGGCCTCAGCCAAACCGGGTGCATCCTGGCCAGATTGCTGCCCCCTTGCCTCCACATACACACCAGCTGTCCCCAGTGGGGAAGCCCTGAGCAGCCACTTCCTTCCCAGACGCTTCCGGCACCAGCCTCTCCTGCCGCTGCTGAGTCAGCAGCCTCTGGCTCCATTCATCAAGGCACACCACAGGGCGGGCCATGGGGCCACCGCCAGCGCAGCCCGCAGGAAAATCTCGCCAGCAGCTACTGCCGCCTGCCCCCTGGGGAGTCCACCTCCCTGCACCCCCTCTCTCTGAGGTTCCCAGACGGAAGCTCTCACATGGCAATCTGCTCAGCTCCTGCAAGAACCTCCCATGGCTCCCCATTCACCGCGAGCCCGCTTGCTGTGCCACCTGTGGGTCACCTGCAAACACTGGCCACCCCCATGCCAGCAAGTCTCCCCCAAGGGCCACCGGGGGCATGGGTTGGAGAGAGAAGTCCTGGCTGTCTAGAACGGAGCAGCCTGAGGGTTCCACAGCACCAGGAGTGTCCCAGACCAACAGCTATCTCCCCTAGCCATCCTGTCCCTGCCCTTGCACCAGGACGGCAGGGGAGCCTGGGAACAGGAAGCCAATCCCTGCCCATGGCGGGCACTCAGGACCTCCCAGGAGGGAACTGCCCTGAGTCAGCATGTGCGCCCCCCCAGTGAGTCAGCAGCCGGCCTCCCTCTTCCCCCTCCTTCTTCTCCCACCCTTTGTCCCAACCAAACGTGGGAACTCCCAGGAGCCCCTTGGGGAAGGGCCACAGGGCCAGCCCAGGCTTCTGCAGAACAGAAGGGAGGGCTCAGACTGTCCCTAGCTTGCAGAGACAGGAAGTGCATGAGTCCCCATAGAAACGGGGGAGTGTGTGAGCCCAGAGTCAGGGCCACAGGGGGATTCCCAAGAAACGATGCAAGCTGCAACCCCATGAAGCCCAAACAGCGGAGCCCCAGCCTGCATCCGGGGCTCCAGGCAGCACGCTTTCAGCCTCAGATGCTGGGGGGACTCCCCCACCTGCCACCCCATCACCTAACTTCCACAAAGGGGACAGGCCAGCCAGGGGCACACAGAACTCCGACAATGCACCCGCAGCCAGCTGCACCCTTACCCTGCCCACACACGGAGGCCGCTCCTTTTTTCTGCTTTGAAGCCACTTTGAGCTAAGTTTCTATGACTAGCAGTGAAGAAGCCCTTGACAAAAAAATCCATTCATGCTTTCTGTCATTCATGCCATTATTCACAGAGCGGCCCCAGGGAGCAGAGAGAGGACCCCGCTGCGAGGGCTGGTCCTCAAGGCCAGTGCAGCTCAGCGGTCTGCTGTGGAAGGTACAGTGCCGACTGCTTGGAGGCACCATGGTGACACCTCCTGCAGGTGTGAGCAGCTGCCCAGGGTCCATGGGCCAGGGTAGGCAGCCCCGCCTGGCACCTGGAAACAGCAGGGAATGAGACCGACAGGTGGGCCTGGTCCTGGCTCTGACACGTTGTCATGCCTTCTTTATAAGGTTCCCACCTGTGAAAGCAAAGCTTGGGGAGTGGGCGTTGAGCTGGGGGGGAAGGCAGCCACATCCCACATAGGGAGTGTGCCTGGGCTGGGATTTCCAGCCTCAGTTCCCTGCTCTTTCATACCCCGAGAGCTAGCAGATAATGGCTCAAGAACTTGGGGCCCTGCCACCCACATAGCAGGAAGCTCCTTTGCACTCCCAGCTCCCAGCTTTCGCTTGACCAAGGATCTGGTGATTGCAGCCATTGGGGGAGCAAATTATCTTTTACTTTCTTCAAGATTTATTTATTTTTATTGGAAAGGCAGATATACAGAGAGGAGCAGAGACAGAGAGGAAGATCTTCCGTCCGATGGTTCACTCCCCAAGAGGCCACATCGGCTGGAGCTGAGCCAATCCAAAGCCAGGAGCCAGGAGCTCTTTCAGATCTCCCACGCGGGTGCAGGGTCCCAAAGCTTTTTTTTGGTCCTCAACTGCCTTCCCAGGCCACAGGCAGGGAGCTGGATGGGAAGTGGGGCCACCGGGATTAGAACCAGTGTCCATGTGGGATCCCAGTGTGCTCAAGGCGAGGACCCTAACCTCTATGCTGTTGTGCTGGGCCCACAAATGATCTTTTTCTTTCTGTGTCTTTGACTCAACAAATAAAAATACAATTTGCTAACAGGAAAGTAAGACTGGAGATTCAGACAGCTCCCTGCCGGTCAAGGCTCAGCGGCAGACACCAGCATGTGCCCAACACCCATCTGTCCTTCCTGCAGGCCCCTGGCCCCTCAGCTATGGTCTACAGATCCCAGCCTCCCTCATGGTGGGGCGTAGCCATGCGACCATCACCTGGCTATCGGGTTCCATCCAGCTTTCACACCCTGACAGATGGGGTGTGTGGAGCCTTCCGCAGCTCAGGGACACCAGGGTGCAGCAGTGCCACAGGCCAGAATCCCTGAACGCTCCCGGGTGCTCACACGTGGGGGCTGCAACTCAGTAAGCATCTATTCTTGCGTCAGCGCCTGCTATTCTGAGTGTTTCTCACAGCATCTGCACCGAGTCGTTCTGGGAACCTGCTCTCCCTCCTCCCTCCCATCTCCTCCCTTTCCTCCCTCCTCCTCCACCCCCACTGCTCGGAGCCACACAAGGAAGCCACATCTAAAATAGGACTGTCAGAATGCAAACTGGAAACTCCACATCAGTATCTCTGGTGACACCAGGCGCTGCATACGATCTACTCCAGGAACCAAACCCGCCGGGCTGGCGGACTGTTCGTGGGCAAAGTCGGGGTTGTGAGCTGTGTCCACTGGGTGAGCGTGGGCACTTGCAGAGTCCTAGAAATGAGACTCGGAACATACAAGGAGAGGGGGAGGTCCACATGCCTTGGTGGGGGCCAAGAAACCAGAGTGGAGATCTTCAAGGGGGCTGGCAAAATGGAGGGAGAAGAGGCCCCAGGACAAGATTAGAGAAACTGCAGAAATTCATGGTCAATACCAGAACAAGCAGCCCGCCCCATAGCCTCTGCTGGCCCTCTCTGGAACCGGTGTGTTCTACTTGCCAGGGGGATACAGTTCACTAACAGCTCTGCCTGGCGCTCGGCCGACATCTGTCTCTTAACCCAGCCCACTTCCAGCCAGTCCGCCAACCTGGCCATGCCTCTTCCCCATTTAGCCCTGCAGAGCAGCACTGGGCAGCCCTGTACACGCCACTGGTGAAGAGATGCAGCCTGCACCAGAACGCCCGGTGTTGAGTCCCTCCTCTGCTTCCAAGCCAGCTTCCTACTCAGGCTCACCCTGGGAGGCGGCAGGTGAAGGACCAGATACTTGGCCCCCAGTACCCCCGTGGAAGACTTCAAGTGCTCAACTCCAGGTTTCAGCAAGCCAGAGAATGAACACCCTCTCTCAAAGCGCATTTTTAAAAACATTGAAAGTGATATCAGACAAGAACGATGACCAAAGCCAATGTGGAAAGCCATGCCGGGCTCTGCCTTCTCACACACGGGCTGCTTGTGGCACCTGGCACCTCGAGCAGGTCGGCACTTCTCTCATCCCGGTCACAGCAAAAGCAAATCCAGGCATGGCATCGGGCTAACCGGCACAGATGGCTGATACACTGGGTTGAGCCTCCCTTCTCTGAAAACCATGGGACCAGAAGTGTTTCCTTCTTATTTTCTGTTGGGTTATCTGCATAGACAGAGTAAGCTAGCTGGAGGCTGGGACCCGGGTCTGCACATGCAATCCATTTGTGCCTCCCCTGCACCTCACACATATGCACAGCCCAAGGGTAACATGATGTGGCACTCCCAGGGCACCTGCGTTTCCTGTCTACCCATCATGAGGTTGGGTGCAGAACTTCCCACGTGTGGGCACCACGCCAGGGTTCAGAACATTCTCCGTGTTGGAGCACTTGCAATTTGGAGTGTGGGAATCGGGGTGTTTGACTAGTATCAAGTTCTCATAATAAAATGGGGGGAAAAGGTTTGGGAAACAAATCGATAATTACAATATTAACATATGTAACTATAATATGACCAGTTCTTTACTATTGTTTGAAGAGGGCAGGTTGGTCTGTCCTGGTTTG